TTTTTTTCAGTGATATTTTTATACTTGCCCAATAGCGTAATATGCTTATCATCTGGACCAAGTGCGAATAAATAGTGATTTCTGGAGCTATCCACAGGCATTTGTTTCCTTTTGAGGTGATGAAAATGTGAAATGATAATTGAAGTAAAACTTTTGTCCATTTTATGAGTAAGACGCTCACTTCCATGATAACATGTCTAATGAAAAGCCATTTGCCTTTTAACCTAAAACCATCCTGCCTTTATTCAGAAACAGTTCTTTTGTAGTCTTGAGGATATATATCCTCCTACAAGAAATGGGATGGTAATGTAAAAAAAAATATTGTTGAAGCTCTGTAGATTCATGTGTTATAAAAATGTACAGGTTTATTTTTAAACATTTTACATTTGTATCTTCAAAAATAGTAATTAAATCAGATGTTGATGTATTTGCTCTAATTTCATTGTGTATATGGTGTTTTGGTTTTTGGGGTTTTTTTATTTAACCTTAGTCATGGTTTTGTGTGTCAAAAAATTGATGCTATGTTGATGCCCTTGGTAAAAGAGATCTGTATGTTCACAGTCTCTTTTTAAAATGACAGATTGGCACTAGTATGACCATAATTTCCTGTTCTTTGGCATCCATATTTATAGATCTCCTCTGCTTCTAAGAATTACTTTGTTTTGCCCCAATTAATACTCTGTCTTGTTAGTAAAAAAGTAGTAGTACTGTTTGTATACTTACTTGCTAGCATTTTTGCAAGGTTTAAGAATTCTTTTTATGTCCCTTCCAGAATGGGAATTCTTAAGATCAGTCAAACAACTCTGTGTGTGTCTTATAAAATTGTTTTTTTACAAAGTGGTCAGAAATACTGTGTTAGTTACAGAAGTCATTTGCACAACAATAGTTAGCTGTGTTGCAATGTCTTCATGCAAGGTCAGCATTTTTTCCTCTCCCTTGCTCCAGAAGTCTGGACAAATGGTTTCCCGTTGGTTAGGGAGATGTAATCCAATCCTTGTGCCCTTTGCCTGTATTATATCCCTTTTAATATAAAAGGAAGGAACTGCTTTAGTTCACTAACCTCCTTTCTCCTGTTAGCAAAATTGTATTGGTGTTTTTCAGGTATTGCTGCCTCTTTCCTTTCTTCCCAGATATGCTTTTTCCTGTACCGTTTTAAGAACAGCTGTCTCTCTCTCCCCCTCTTTCTCCTCCCCCCCCTCCCCCCAACTCCCCACAAAGGGTCCACTACATTTGGATGCTTTTGGCACTTATCTTATTGCTGCTTGCTGAGAGCCATAGTAAATCACTACATGAGCATTCCTTGAAGTTTCATGGCAGTAGAACTACTTACAGAGTAAGGTGCTGTTGTGTATAACACTGTGCACTGGGATATAGTCTAGAGTTTTTCACAGCCCAGTATGAGATGCTAATAGCTTGATTTATCAGTATTGCTAAGGCCCCTGCCACATGTTACACTTAAGACATGATTAACCAGTTAATCACATCTTTAACATGTAGCTGGAATACAATTTAAGTAAATAATGGCATCGTAAAGCAAGGAATAAGCCACAAAGTTATGTAAATAACTCACACACGTGTGCACACACACATACACACACACACACATGAAGTGATTCTTGACACTATTAATTGAACATGTGGCCAGGTGCACCCATGTGACTGGGAGCCCTGTCAGCTCACTCCCCCTACACCAGCAGTAAGGCATTATGGGATCTGATGTTTGATCCCACAATCATGCCTCCTAGTGTGCATGGGTGGCATGACAGGAAATGCGATTGTGTGGATCACATATCAGATACTATTATACCTTTACCTGCATGTCTGACAGGGGCCTAAGTTTCATTTTATCTAGGTGTGAAGCCTGACAACTTACATAAATCGAGGCTAACCAAAGTGAGAAAAGAAATATATGATTTTTTAAAACTTTTAACACAAAACAAGTAATGACCCTTAAAAAGGCATTTGGGCAAGTAACTACCAGTATATGTCGGGGTCACCAAGCAGTTTATTACAATAATAAGTCACGCAGTTTGGAAACAAATATGAAATTTTCTCCTTATGGTGGTAACTAGTGAAAGGGCCTCAATCTGCTAAGAAATCTTTAATTAGCTTGCAATTAAATAATTTTTTTTGCAAAAATCTTGTTGGTCTAATAAAAGATATCACCTCTACCATGAGCCCTGATTGCTTGAATGGTTAATGGAATTTAAATTGTATTCAGATTTCAGAGATAATGGTGCTTGAGTTAAACAGAAAGTTAATATCTCTGAACTGCTGTTGCAAGCTCTCTGCTGACCTGGGATGGAGTTTCCGTTTACATCATTAGTGAATGTTCAAATGCTGAAGGTTACCTATTTAAACCTAATGGATGAAAACCTGGCTCCTCTGAAGTCAGAAAGATTTTTGTCGAGACTTTCCATTTCTGGATATTTGAATATCAAAAAATGAAAATGTGGCCAGGAAGTACAGTTGTGGGGCAATTGAATATTTTAGAATAATGCAGCAGCTTAAATATCCTCGTGATATGGGATTATACAGCATATGTGCACACATGCAGGTGTGTGTGTGTGTGTAAGGGAATACCTGATATACATGTTATATGATGATCAGCTGCTCCTAGAAAGTTACACAAACTTGATTGAAAGTGTAAACCGGTTATTAGTTGTATGGCCATAGCACCTAAAAGTCCTCAGTCATGGGCCGGAATCCTTTTACACTGGATAATGTAGAATCACAAAATGAAAAGACAGCCAATGCTCCAAATATTTTACAATTAAAGTAGTCAAACCATGTAAAATTAAAGGCTATTCCTGATGCAGACCTTTGTATGCTTCAGCTGGGGAAACAAATTAGGAAAGAGGAAAAGATTTTTAAAAAAATCCTGAACATTCAATAAACGTCTAGCGCAGATGTCAGCAACCCCCGGCACATGTGCCGAGCACGGCACATGAGGCCATTTTGCTCAGCGTGCCACTGCCAGTCTGGGTTTTAGGCAGCTGCTGCCAGCCACAAAGCCCAGGCTGCTCCCAGCAGGTGGCTGGGGGGCTGCAAGCCCTGCCGCAGGCAGACCGGGCTCTGTGATTGACAGCAGCTACCCAGAGCCTGGACCGGTTGCAGCTAGGAGGCTGCAAACATTGGCTTTGGGCTCCAGCATTAGCTCCTTACCAGCGGGTGCGCACACGCCTCAGAGTGAACGGTGGGGGAGCAGCCTGAGGCAGCACAACCCCAGGCTCTCCCCCACTGCTGGCACAGAGCTGATGACGGGGCTCCGGAGCCCAGTGCAGCTGTTTGTAGCCAGCCTGGGCTCTGGGCAGCTGCAGCAGGCTCCACAGCCCTGGCATCAGCTCTGTGCTGGCAGCGACTGTACGTGAATCTCAGGGTGGACAGTGGGAAGGGTGTGCCACCTCAGGCCCTATTCCCACTGTCCGCTCCAGTGCGCACATGCACCCACTGGTATGGAGCTGATGCTGGAGCCCAGAGCAGCTGTTTGCAGCCCCCTGGCTGTAGCCGACACAGACTCGGGTAGCTGCTGCCAACCGTGGAGCCCAGACTGCTTGCAGCAGGGCTTGCAGCTGAGCCCCCCTGACTCCCACCTGCTCTGAGCCCAGCCCTGGCCCAGCCCACCAGGATGAGGCTGGTGCTACTCCTTGCTAGGAGCACTGCACCATTTGCAGACTTAGCTGTGTGGGGTGGGTGGGTGGTTGGGCTGATGGGCAGGCTCTGGGTCGGGGCCTTGGCCAGCTGTGCTGCAGCCCAGGGGCTGGCTTCCTGGGGAAGCACGAGGCTCTGGCAGAGCCAGGGCATTGTTGGGTCGGACTTTGTCCAGTGGCCCAGGAGCCCCACTCCATACACCCACGTATCCGGTTGTGTGTGTTTGTCTGCCTCTGTCTGGTTCTGTGTGTCTGTGTGCGCACACGTGTCTGGTTCCGGATGTGTGCGCGCATGTGTCTGTTCTGGGTGTGTTCTGGTTCTCTGTGTGCGTGCGTGTGTGTGTGTGTCTGGTTCTCTCTCTGCTCTCCTTTTTCTTTCTCTCCTCTTTCTCTTGTCTCTCTTTTCTTCTCTCATTGCAACATGCTCAACAAAAAGGGAATACGCAACAGCAAAGGCAACATTTATGATGATTAAATATACTAATATGCAGTGCGTCCTGCCATGCCCCCCCTCCGCCCCCCCTGCCCCCCCCCGGCCCCCCCCCCCCTTTTTTTTTTCTGGCATCCCAGCACTCCAGCACCTTCCAAGATAGACATTGTGGTTTTTTTCAGCACTCCAGCCAAAAATTGTTGCCTACCCCCTGGTCTAGAGCAAAAAAGAAAAATTAGTATTGTACAATGAATCTCAGTGTCCAAATGGCTGATTATTCCAACAATCAGCAAGGTACAACATGGCATAAGAATAAGATCAGTTTATTAAAGAGAGGAAAAATGGGAGAAAGGAAAAGCACCTTTGTCCTAATGAAGTGAAGGACTCTGGCTAGCATTGGGCTGCACCATAAAGTGCTTGCAAGGTCATATACTCTATCAGAACCAATACACTCAACATTTCTTACTCATATATGCTAATATATCTAGTTCTTTAAACTTTACCTATTGGATGCATTATAACCAGACAGCACAATAATAATCAATATTTAAATTTCCAAATTATTGTAATACTTGGAGAAACAAATCTATTTAAATAATTATGACATGATTTTCCTTTTTGGTTTCTGAGACTGAGTGGTTGCAGACAAAAAATTCAGACTCCAGGTGGGGCTGTGCCGCTATTCCTAGTTAGATAATTCTGTATTTTAAAAAGTCCTGTTATTACCTGTCTACAGAAAAATGAACCAAAACACAAACTGTCTCAGTACTGATTACATAGGAAGGATTACTGAGGCCGCTGTTTAGCAGCAATATAGAATCTTGTTCATCTTCTGGCTGAATGTCTCCAACTCAGCTTGAATTTGGAAATGTATCATTATTATTATTGCGAGCATAAGCCTGCATCTTCTTTCTTTCCAGATTCGTGGATTTTTATCAAGATTTGATAACGTCCTTCCTGTGAGCCTGGCATTTGACAAGTGCACAGCCTGCTCTCCCAAAGTAAGTCTGAATTGTTTGTTTATGTCTGCTTTCTCAATGGTCACAGTTCCAAAATTGTGTCCTGTTTTACAGGCAGGTCATATGGAATCTTAAGGGCTAGTTTATATAAAAACACTTTTTTTTCTTGTTTCTTGGGGTCCGGGGTCTAACCAAATACTACAGTTTAAATCATTTTGGCCTGACTCCCTACTTCCTAAATTATTATATGGTTTTCTTTGTGGATAGAGCTGCCAAGTCCATCTTCTATTGTCTCTGCCTAAGAGCTTCATGCTGCAATATAAATAAATAAAGATTATGTTCAGTTTTAGGGACACACAATAAATAGGTTTTCCCCTTAGATTTCAACAAAAAGGCACCAAAGTTGATATGTTGCTATCATGTTCATCACAGAGACATTACCAATTTTTTTTAAGCATACACTTAAAGAATAATCTTCTTTGTTTGTGGTTTGCTTGGGTCTCCTTAATTACATGAGAAATAAGGCTAAGTGTCTGTCTACCTGCACCTGTCCTGCACTAGGGTATCTTTTTGCAAATATGTAAAGTTGCTTTAATGTTTGATGCCTTGCCATGAGCACTTGTACTCAGGGATAAAATAAATATCATCTTCATAATACTTTTTATTAATGAATCTCCTTCATTTTGATACTGGTGGTGACCGTCCTGAATCAGCTAATGCATTACAGCAGTTGCTAGGATTCTGAGTTGAATATTGCCAGAACACCAGTGTGTCCACTAGTGTACGTCTATGTGAGGCCTCGTCATGCTTGGATTGTTTTCCTGTACTGTAGCCTTGAAAGCTCTTGGCAACTTTTCTAGGGTTGCGTAGACTAAGTTCAAGTAATCTTGACTGGGATATCTCAGTATGAAGAGGCCATGGTTTGACTCATAATTTGGCACACATGGAAGTGCTATTAATTCAGTCAAGTCTTCCCACTCTCTTCACTAAATTCATCCTTTGTATTCCAAATACAGATCACCAGCTTCTGAGGGGCTGTGGATCTTTTGACAATGAAGAGATCTCATACAGGAACTACCTTTGTTGATACAGTATTCCTGTCATTCTTTTAGGGCAGCTGACACATTAGTCAGGCTCTTGGGGACTTGAATGTGCATAATCTCTTTAGGAGTTCAAGTGTTAGGCTTACAAATTGCTTTTTCTGGGAGCACATCCCTACTTTCTTGAATGGCTGAGCAATCAGGAAGTAGTACTTTTTTTCTTCTTTTCCACCAGCACATTTTTTTTAGAGGTTTGGTATATATCATGTCTCCCATCTCTCCTTTTTTTTTTTATATTAAAGTACAGTTTCTGATAGTTCATGTTTAATTTTCCTCTTAAATAGCTTTTCAATTGCCTATGTATCTATTCCATGAACAGATGACCCTATACTCTCATGAAGTTTTATCCAGTCTTCAGATTATATATACATTTTAAAAATGAATTTAGAGAACAGTAAATGAAATGCAGGTATCCATATCCATTTTTGTAAGCAAATGATTTCCTCTTGATGGTCATTTTAAGAGTCCTGTTTTACATAAACTGACTAGATGATTTAGTAAAAGCTGACTTGGATTTTAGCAGATGTGCTATTTCCATAGAGATCATTTTTCATGTGGTTAGAGGATTAAATTACTTTTGTGCTGAAAACGTTGCTTTGTTGTGTTGCAGAGCACTTAGGTGCCCTGCTCCTGAAGAGGGGAAACTGCTAGGGAAAAAGCCGTAACAGTGAGTAAGGAGCCCAGCTGTTGATCACCAGGGCAACCAGAGTAGTTAGTGCCCACACCTGTCAGCGGTCAGCTGACTGAGAGGGGCAGGGCCTGGCACATATAAACCCCAGGGCTGAGGCCAGGCTGGGAGTTCCCTACCAGCAGCCAGGGGGGAAAGAGCTCCCCCCTAAGCAAAGCTGAGAGGAGAGGCCCTACCGCAGGTACAGCCCTGGGCCGGGTAAAGGATGGAGGATCCATGGGGTGTTTTGAGTAATGTTGTTAAAGCCGGGCGGCTTCCGTTTATGTTATAGCTGAGGGGCTTGCATTTTGTTTACTGTTTAAGACCAGTGGTTTAGGTGGGGCTATTAGGGGTTGGAGGAGGCCTCATAGGGGACCCACAGCAGTGTGGGGACCCCAGCGCCAGCAAGGGCACAGCAGTCGGGGTGCACTGACCCCAGCCCTAGAAAGGGGGCACTTGAGAAGCCCCAGGAGAGGGGGCAGAGTGAGACCAGGGCCGAGGAGAGCCCAGGCGCCAGAGAAGGCGCAGACCAAAAGAGACTGTGCCCGCCTCCGCTCAAGAAGGCGCTCTCGGGCAACTCTTGTGCGAGCGGCTAACCGGGTCTGCCCCGGTCTCGCTGGAAGGTCCCCAGAGGGTGCCCCAGGAGCCGGTGGCAGGGGCCTGGAACTCGCCGACCGAGGCCTTAACTGGGCCCACAGCGGAGGGGTCCCCCTCTCTGCGGTCTCCAGTGCCAAACGCCTGTGGGCAGGCACTCACGGGGCTCCGACCTCCCCTACACCCCGGCCAACGCCACCTTCGGTCAAGGACCTTCTGCTCCCGTATCCCTGGCCCGAGGATCCCGTGTCCTGAGCCCTTTAGCCCCTGCGGGCTTCTTCCCCGACGTTCTCGCCGGCATCTCCGTCGACTCTCCCCGGTTCCCTCACCAGCGTTCCT